CTCCACGAAGGCATTTTTCCCCTTAGGAAGATAACCCTTCTGTACTTTTCTATATTCAAAGTCTAACCTGATAACTAATCAAGAGTTTGTGAGAAAAATTAAACATTGAATTACAAAAGAAATTCTGTATAGAATTTGAAAACATCTCGTTCAATACCGTTCCAAAATACATATATTCAAGAAAGTACGTACGTTTCATCGAAGGGGACAAAATTAAATTCCAAGATTCCACGCGTATTGTGATATTCTTTTCTTAACCCAAACAAAGAAACCAAGCTGGAGAAAACCATATAAAAATGAAATGCATCTGGATAATAGAGAACGTATTTAGTAATATCTGTTATCTTTGTTCTCTTGTTAGTTGTGAGTGATGAACTGAGCTATTAGATTTTGATGCAAAAGTACTAGGATGTAAAAATTAATTTTAAAAGAAATTTCTTACTTCAAATCGTCCTCTGAAGAGATACTTTATTATTGTAAAAGGTAATGCAAATTAATACATACTTTAAGATAATTTCCAGATTGTATGTTGATAGATTGTATGTCATTTTGCTCCCAATTTATAGGTATTAAAATCAGAAGAAAATGCTTAATTTCCTATCTGAGGAGAAAAAAAATCTAAATACCTAAAAATTTCAGCTTACAGCATAACACATAAAAGGAATTTTGTCACTGTAAATTCAAAATATATATATAAAGAGTATGGAAAACAGAATTTTTGAACCAAATGGTATCGTTAAACCTGCTAGTTTAAGAATTAGTTGGTAAAATTTCTAGATCGGGAGCATAAAATCATACATTTTAGTTCAAAATAATATTGCAAAACGGTAGGGAAATCTTTGAGAGTGCTGAATACTAATAGTGCTACCAGGGTTTGGAGGCCGAAAGATGTTTTCGAAGCGTAACGCGAATATGAAGTAGTATCCCTTAGGAAGTCATTTACGGAGCCCTCCCTTACTTATGCACTGAAACCCTCATGTGATTGGCATAATTGGTTAAAGAGTGACTAGAGCGGTAAGTCGGCTGAACAATAGTAATTCAAACACTACTAGTAGTGTCTGCTGATAATTTCTAGTACTAATAGTTCAAAACTAATAGTTAGGAGCCTAAATTTCGTGGCTGCGTGGAGTTTTCATATTCATAGAGTTCTTTTATTCATGCCTAACGTGAATGCGTGAAGTCTGTTTTCCTTAAAATAATCCTCTACGAAAGTATTCCTCGTTTAAGACAGATAATAATCTCGTTCTTTTCCTTAATTCAAATAATTAGAATTCTAATCGATTAAAGCAAGGAATCCGAGAATTTGGATTTGTTATTTTCTTGTAAATTGAGATATTTTCCGGCAGAATTCTTGAAATGCCACTTCATTTTGATCAAATCTTTTGAATTACCAATTTTAGCGGCAAGTGAAACGTTTTGTCGTTTTCTGCTAAATGTGTAATTTTGAATTTGTAAAAAAAGGCCCAAATTCTGTATACCAGTCATTTTTAAAATTTGGTTGAGATTATCTTTGGCAGATCGCAAAAAATTGTGTATTTTCTTTCTAAAGAGTTCATTTTCTTGTTATGTAATTACTGTATATATTATATTTAAGCAGGAACAAATGAATTTATAATTATCAATAAATTTAACCATTTCAGCCCTGTTGGTGTCATTTGCTACCTTAACAGGTATAAGTCTTTTATCGGTAGCAGATATTGTCAATTCACCATCAGAGGTCTTACCTGACAGCCCTTCTGCATATCTTTTCTCACGCGACTGTTTACATTAAGAACTAATGTTACATCCTAGTTTTTGCAAATCAGATAGGAACTTGTAAATATGTTGCAGCGCCTGTAAACAATATTTTGTAGACATTCATTCTCCCTCCTGGGAGGGAGAATGAATCCTCCATAAAGGTTAATATTATGACCACTGTTCGTGGTGCACTCACAAGTCATGGTAATGACCTGTCTAGAAGATCTTATTGATTCAGAAAAGATAATATCATTACTGAAAATCTCCCTCCTGAGACGATCGTCTCTACAGAAGACTGGAATCATTCTGGAATTATGGGTGGTTGTCTTAGAAAAAGTTTTTTACAATAATTATATTCATCATAACTGCACTGTTTTATTCTAGAAATCTTCTAGGATTTAATGCATGGTATAATATATTACTTTAGAACAAGCACTTCAGTGTCATTTTCTATCCCTGCAGGTTTACCTCGTAAACATGGCAACGACTGTTCCAAAAGACGGTCGACTACTCTAATTTGCTAAAAATCCTTAATTTCCTCTGTGCGACGATACGCGTTATGGTCGAAAGTGAAGGAAGGGTCATTATGATCTTGAACTGCCTGTTTTAAAGTAATAAACTATAATCACGAAACTAAAAGGTTTGGGAATCACTGCTGACCTGTGTGACTTCGTGGAGGACTTTCTAACCGATTTTTAGGACGATCGTTCCTCCAGACAAGAGAATAAAAAGGGTCAGACTTCCTTCCAATGTAATTACGTTAACCTAATTTGTGTGTTTTTAGTTGAAAAATGCTGTCAATGCTTTGGAAACGTAAGCAGACGTATTTGATTTCTAAGTTCAGACATTTCCCGGTTTAAAAAAATTCCTAATGTACTTTATCTGCGGCACCTGAACTAAAATCTGAATTTTATCGACTATGTTTCATGTCCCTATGACTATGTTCTGGTCCAGACATCCGTAAGTGGAAGAAAGCGTAATGAATTATTGCCTTTTCCCGAGCTTGATATCGGGTCGTAAACGTTAGTTGACAGTAGGAGACAGTGGTTAGTAACCCCGCATAGGTATACTTTATTTCAAACCTTCCTTCTCTAAAAAATAGAATATTCTCTACAAAGTAATTAGAAAATGTAATTATTTACAGTTTAGGTGAGGAGATATTCTTTATTTTCAAGTAACGCCATCTACTTGATAAGTTGTTGTTGTTACTAATCTTCATGTCTAGGATTATACTAGACGAGGTCCACGAGTCCATTCATTTTCAGAAAATCGAAAACAAGCTTAAAAGACTTGTAAAGGTCCTCAAAATACAACTCCAGGCACTCAAGGATATGTGCCGGTGATGCCGGTGCATTTTGACATTTAGAACAAATTGGTTGCATCTTGAGACCTCTCTTAAAAGTAAATTCTTTCAGGTGTTCACTGAAGAATCGGGAAAGTGTTGTCTGAATACATCTATCGCAGTCAATAGCAAGAGATCTTCCAGGACAAACAGCTTGATACCAGGGATGATTCGGGGAAACGAGCCAAATTTTCCTGTCTGCATGTCTTCTAATGGAATATAGTTCAAGATATGTCAATGAGTTGGTAACTGGTAATGTTTCTTAAGAATCCTCCATCGCCAGAATGTCTGCCATTTCATTCCCCCATATGTCAACATAGGAGAGAATCCAATGAAGATGCACTTCACAGAGTGACGAGACCTGCTTAAGCTTGCTAAGAATTGCAATTCCGGCCTTATCAGCAACTCTTCGCCAGTTTGAAAGATATTGGTTGGCGCTACGACTGTCAAACAAAACCCATACAGCCTTAAGATGTGTAAAGTCATTGATAAGTAAATGCATTTGTATTCTTCAAATTGATTACATTTGCTTAACCGTATTTTATAAAGTAAAATTACCGCCCAAACAGAATAAAGATCAATGACTCTGACTGCCATTCCAAAGGGCCGGGTTAAACCCGGAGAAGGTATGGGTGTTTGTAATATATAGTGTCTGTGCGGTATAGGGGCACTCTAAATATGCGTCGAGCCGAAAGTCCTTTTAAGAGGTTGGTGGTAGGGAAAGAGGGGTGGAGATTCTTGAATTCGTCTGCTTGGAGTGCTCTCCTTCAAAATTAGCGTTGGAACTGAGCAAAATCGTGCTATCACCTGTTTGGTGCTCCAGGTTCATGTCAATGACAGACGCAATCTTGCTACCTTGCCATGATAATTTTTGTGGACTTGCTCTGATATCAAATAAACGAAATTAGTCTCAACAACAGCATATCGTAAAAATTATGTTCTGCAATTCTTTTTTTAAACAAAAGTTGTTAACTAATTACACCCAACATTTTTCAATTAGTATTGGATTGGACTCGATTATTTAGATTATGCAAAACACGCCATGGCTATCTACCAAACAGAAGAGATGTTTCTGTGGAGGATTTTGTAAGGGAAATTGGCTATCGTTCACACTAACATGGGGAAAGGTTCGAAAATGCTCCAACAGCTTGCGAGGATTTGATCAAGGGTCGAACGATCGGGTTTTAACGGCTCTGCTTGGATCATTTTACAGCTTGAAATATCTTTTATGAAATTTAGAAATTCAGAGTCCAGACATGCCCGACCAGCCGTATTCCATATATTCACAATTCCATTTACGAAGATCATCGGTTATATTTCTTTAGTGATTCTAACAATAAACTTCAGAATTATTTTTTCAATTCACTCCTTTTTTTTAATTTTCCTCATTGATTTAAGTAATACCAAAAAAAAAAAAAAAAAAAAAGGCTACAGCTGAGTACGCATTTTTAAGAAATTTGTTACCAAATTAATTCTTTAGAAGTAATGACAACGTCAGCTTGCAGAGTGAGGCAATTTTAAAATTAAAAAAAAAATAGGGGAAAATTTGTATTCTATTTTTACCGTCGTGTCACGTACAACCGTAAAGACAATGTGCACTGGAAGCTAAATTTGTCATTAGTTTGTGAGAATAAATACGCATCTTGTGAATGGAATGCGACTTACAATTCTTCTAAAATCAGTAACTTGAAGTACTTTCATTACAAATTCATTGAGATTAAAGCAGCTGACATATACTATGTCCAGCAAACGCAAATTTACAAGTGCCGAGAGAATGTGTGTTTTAATGTGATGTTTTACTTTACTTTTAATTAGACACAGGTAAGATGCAAGTATATTTTTAAGCAATGAAAGTGCCATTTCTTTGCTTAATTTTATGGCGATAAAAATAAAGGAACATAACAGTTGAAAAATAACTCACAGCTTAGGAAAATTGTAGGAAGCAATGTAAAAGCCAACATCACGTCCTCTCAACAGTGAAGAAAGAGCCTGTGATGGATTTGCGATTATTGTAATACATTTTATCAGTGTAAACGATGTATTATTATAACACATTTTATCAATATAAACAGAAAAAATCAGCTAGAGCAGATAACGTTTGTGAGTGGAATTAGGGGATAAAGGTATTATATAAAAATACTGTTGCGTTACTGAGATAAAGATTTTCATTTATTGCAAAATAGCATAGAAATGCAGACTAATCGTAAACAAAAACAGTCTATGAATTTATGACGCTTCATTTGTAACCGGATAAAGTGGAAGCGAAAAGTTGTTAAATGCTTCACTGTCAAATTATAAATAAATGTTAATTAGTATCAGCTGAATAATCATAACTATCGAATGATTTTTTGATTGGGCATTTTCAGATCACAAATGCCACGATAGTTTTCATTCTATAATTCACATACACTCAAAGTAAACTGATGTTGAATATACTTGATCGGGTTGTTCAGAAAATAGCGAAGCACACGAGGGTTATCTGAGTTGCATACGGGAGTAATGTTATACGCAATATATTTTCCAGGCAATACATTCCGAGTAAATATTTTAGTAAAAATGTTTCATATAAAGCTAAACCTGTCTTTTGAAATAACATTACTAGAGGAAGGAAATAAATTAAAAATTAAAAGTGACTTACAATACATAAACTTCAGATTATGTTCTATCACATAGAGTGGATTTTATGACTATTCTATTTTAAAATATGAACATTAATACATTCAGATTATGAAACAGTATTAAAATTTCAAACTATTCTTATAGTTCTAAATACATCCTAGAACAGAGCTTATAATACTATTTCTCTTGTCCATAATAGTTGCAAGGTATTTCTCCCGCTTTCTTAGCACGCCTTCGTGGTGTAATGGCCAGCATACTCGGCGCGTATCGAGAGTCCCGGCGAGTCCCGGTGAGGGCACTACTTATTTTTCATGTCTCCTGCTTCAAAAACAACCTAATATCTCTACAGTGGCGCCCGAACTAAAAGGTGGTAGATGATGATTCTTAACCACCAGGATTTGGCGACTGAGTCCCCTAATCCCCAGTGGCCCTTTAAAAGGTGAAGTATATAAGGTATTTTCTCCCTCCTTTCGGCACGCCTTTGTGGTGTAATGGTCAGCATGCTCGGCGCTTATTCGAGAGGTCAGTGCTTCGAGTCATTGCTCATTTTCACGTCTTCTGCTTCAAATAACCTAATGTCTCTACATTGTATGAGCTAAAATTTGTTCTGCATGAGAAAAGCTCATTTTGAAAGAACGTAGTGGGCTGAAAGAACTTTCTAAAAAAAATCTGTACTATGTTCAAGAACACGCTGAAATTGGTATTACTTTCAAGGACCAAAATTTTTATTATTCGCTTAGTCGCATCACGCATTGAACTTATAACTGCGAACGTGTCACACGCGGATTTTGAGAGCTCCAAATTCGGCAACTGCGGCGTTTTATAGGAGCGTTCACATGGAAATGGCAAGATGAGAATATATTTAAGAAGTTCTTGTCCATTGTGAAAGCTTTGTAGTCAACAGCATAACCTATAACCCTGTTCAGCAGTTCGATTAAATGCAATAGCTGAAATTTATGTTAAAATGTCAAATATAATAAAAACACATGCACAACACATGCATTCTCAGTGCATCACATATGATACATATTTTCTCGATCTCGGGAAGTCCTACCCTTCATTTTGGGAGTCACTGCATTTGAACACAAACCTTAAATTTTATTTTCAAACTTTGTTTAAACTTTTAACCTTGATGTGAGTAACTTTTGTTTTTAAAATTTAAAACTATTTGATAAGGAAATTCTGATTGTACATTCGAAATTAAAGAGTTTAGTTTTATAAATAAATACAAAGAACGCTGCGGGAAGGCTTTAATTCTTTACACATTAACCCTAAATATGTTAATTTGATGTTTTAGCTGCAATATTTCGTAAAACAAATCAGCTAATTTTAACCGGAAGTTGTTCAACATAATGAATGACAGAGCTCTAATAATAAGAAATCTAAATGTTTTATACAGCTGCCTAGAACAAATATTTCAATCTGTAAAATATTCATTATTCTTTAATAAGAAATGTGCTTAACTCGCGAGGAAGGTTTCGAGATTAAAATTAATTTCTTAGATAGTATTTCCTGTAACTGACTGCTGAAGACAGATAGTTCGACCTGATTTCAATTCTAGGCGAACGGGCTGACTGTTTGGGCGTTTCGTGCCTTTTTTCACTGTTTAGCGTGACTACGAGCCAGTTTTAATTTGAAAGTCATCCATGAAGGCATCTCTTTCTTTAAGAAGATATATCTTTAGTGCTTTGTCACAATCTATAAAAACGTCCATGTTTTTAAATCGATTTTCAATACCTTTCACAGAACAAAACTAAAGCTTCTTCATTCAAATCTTGAAAGAAAATCATAAAGAAATGTAGCTGCCTTTAGCGATTAATGATTCGCTCTAGATGAAACGGCGCTCCCTTACCTAACTCTGAAACTATTAATTTCCATTACCTCCGCGAATTTTCCTTGAGAATTTTCGGTTTTGTTGTTGTTGTCGTTTCATATTACATGGAACAATGGTTGCCAGAGTCTACTTCAAAGGACTTCTATTTTTCAACCCCAGTTTTGAGGGTGGTCCGAGTGTCTCCCCTCCCTCTCCCCTTCCACCAAACCACACGAGAGGACTTTCGGCTCGCCGCATATTAAGAGGGCCCCCATGTCGTACAGACACTATACATTTACAAGAACCCATGTCTTATCCAGGAATCGAACCCGGGCTCTTCGATATATACATATATTTTGATTGTACTCTTCTTCAAGTGCCTTGTATGCACATGTATATATTTCTTTGTACATTGTTGTACTCTTCTTCAAGTGCCTTGTACGCACATGTATATATTTCTTTGTACATTGCTGTACTCTTCTTCAAGTGCCTTGTATGCATATGTATATCTCTTTTTTGCATTTTATAAATGTCGTCTGCTCAGCCGGGGATGCCCAGGGCTGCGTCCTGGTAGCTAGTGGTTGACTCCCGCCGAGTTGGTAACCAATTCTGCATGGATATATCTATACCTGGGTCGGAAGCCAACTCAGCGGTTTACCTCCCCAAACCACCATACTGTCTGGGAGTCAATTTTCGTTTGTAACTTATTAAAATATAATTAGAATTTAATTCAGGAAATCGCATTTGCGAAAAGCACATAAAGCAAAGGATTTTGCACCGAAGCTTCAATATATGGGATCAGAAAACATCTTGAATAATTATAAAATAAAACTGAGAATATTTATAAAAATTGGGTATATTTTAAATTAAATTCACTTTTATCTATTAGATATAATATTTAAAAATAAATATTAAATTATTGTGATACTCGTTTATTAATTTTAAATTAATCAGTTTGGTAAGCATGCATGACTTGAAAAAAAATTGAAGATCTTATACTTTACCGAATAGCAACACACACTGAGAGCTGGTTAGTTGCAAACGCCGCGAGCAAGGCCGCTGGGGAGTTAAAGATCCTAAGTTTCGCGCATTGACAACGTTGGCTATATCATATGGATTATAGATACATGATAGCGTGACGTAACCTAATACATTAGAATTTGTGTTAACAAGCAGCACAGGGATCTCAACAATTCCGCATAAGAGCTATTTTGTTTCATATAACTCTAGATATTATTTATTTAATTTTTACTGACTGATTAATTTAATTATGATGTCATCTGTTGACGTTACAACGTGATACAAAGTCTGTTGGTTGTAATGTTCGATCGATCAGCTACTTCTCTCTCTCTCTCTCTATATATATATATAATTTTTGCAAGCAAGTAAGTTAATTTTAATTTCTTCCTGAGTTGGATATTTAAATATCAAATTAACTACTATTATTAATTCTAAAGTAAGGATCTCGTTTAGTTATAGACTTCATAAGTAACTTAAATTTAAAAGATTATCTTACTAATCTGATTTCGTTTATAAAGGTTTTTTGGCTTAAATGAACTAATGTCTTTCTATTGATTGAGTATTGTTTGTGACTTATGATTTGGCTCTAGCAGAATAATAATTTGGTCTTTACTTTGAAAAAAGATGAAGCACTCTCACTTAATTTAGTTACTGTTAATTGATAGCAGATTGGTTTGTTCCTCTTAACATGCCAATTAATCTGCGATCGATGACAATAACTACTTTTTTAATATTTAAAATTCTTACTTTCGATTTGATATTCAGGACATTTCTTTACAGATTTTTAAGGTATTTACTGCAATAAAGGTCTAGAAAATACTAATCTAAAACACTGAGTAAAGTATTTTTCTTCTAATAATTCATGGTTTTTAATTGAATTTCTGTCCATTGGAAATGGTACATGAAAACGTTTTCTCTCTATATATATACAGAGTGTTTATAAAGTCCCGGACCCATTTTGATGTTTAATAACTCATAAAATAATAAAGATAGATTAAAATTAATAACATAAATGGTTAGATAGACTCAAAAAGTTTCATGACCCTTGTCAATGAACTTCCACGTGTGACCCCTTCGTCGCACGGAGAATATCAAGTTGATATTCAATTTCACGCCAGGTACCAGCAAGCATGTCGGCATCCACAGAGGCTATTGCGGTTGCAATTCTGGCTTTCAGGTCATCAATGTTCGACACTCTTCTCCTGTAAACGTTGTCCTTTACAAATCCCCAAAGGAAAAGTCCATAACATTGCAATAGTTGCCAAAAACAAAAGAGAGAAAATGCAATCAATAAGCAGACGATATTTAGAAAAGTACAGATATCTAGACTGAAATATGAAATTATCTGAAATTAACCACACGCGCAGACGATATTTACAAAAATAAAGATATTCAACCCTGAAAAGGAAAATATATAAGCTATTACATCAATAAATGCCATAAGTTTCTTTATATCTTCATTATTTTATGAGTTATTAAACATCAAAATGGGCCCAGGACTTTATAAACACCCTGTATATATGTATGTATATATATG